AAGTTCCCTAATTAAGAAGCACCCTTTAACAGGAGAGGGATCATGTGTATATTCTTACATGTTAGTTTAACCTACTTTTATGTATTTTTTTTTTGTATTAGGTTCAGGTGCACAGCACAGTGGTCAAACAATCATACACTCCACTAACCTACTTTCCCAAAGGGAAGAAAATCAAACAGAGAATCACATTTTTTTTTTTTTAAAGCCACTATTATCTGTGTATTTTGAGAAAAGCAGCTCAACTGCTAGGAGGCAACTTTATAGTGGTGCAAATCAGACCAGGAGCCTTTGCACGGGGACAGCAGCATACAACCCTTAGGCTGTGCTTCCCGGTACTCGTTCAGCATGTTTACCAGCTTTCAAGTCGGTGTAAAAACAAAAATAAACCTGCCCATTTCCAAGAAAAACATAAGAAATTAGTTTCTACCCTCAAATCTGCTAAATAAAAGCATTCGCTGGAACCACACACAGTTCAACCAGCTAGAATTTAAAAACAGACTCAGCATGCCAGCATTCTGAGTATTCAATAATAGCAGTGGTCACCTGGGGCAGCGGAAATAACATGGTAACGATATTTTGAGAGGTTCCTGGAATCAAAACACAGGTCAGAGTTTTCCCCTTTCCTTTTGTTTTCAGGAGAAAATTAGTTATTCTCCTAGGGACTGGGGATAGTTATTTTCTCAGACTGTAATATCACAGCAGAGTCTATTACTTCCCACGTCTAGCCTGAAACTAGTATAATGAAATATCATTTCGTGTGATCAGTTTTAAGCCAAGAGTGGGAACATCTTCAGCTCTCTGAAATGGGAAGCACTCAGGGCTCAGGGGACAGATTTAGGTAAAAACAAAAACATCTATTTAGTGACTGGAGAGGGGATCTATTTGGAAGCAAAAGGTAAAGCAGGTCGTCAAGACATTTTGATATTTACCCTGTCACATTAAACTATATGAATGTGATCACAAAGGATAATAGCAGTTGTCGGAGGTTTAGAAGTTGATACAAATCTATAAATGTGCAGATTTTTTATTTTTTTTAATCCTCAGCCAAGGACATTTTTGCATTTATCTTCAGATAGAGCGGGAGGGAGAAAGGGGGAAGAGAGAGAGAGAAAAATTGATGTGAGAGAGACACATCAACTGGTTGTTACCCACGCGACCCCAACCGGGGCTGGGGACAAACTGCAACCGAGGTGCGCGCCCTTAGCGGGAACTGAACCCGGGTCTCTCTGATCCGCGGGCCGATGCTCTAACCCCTGAGCCAAACGGGCCAGGGCTAAATGTGTAGATTTTTTTAAAAAGGCACCTAGAAAAGTCAGCTACTCCAAATGAATAAGGCAATACAGTCGTTGATTTTAAAACCTTTTTGCAACCATGCAACAAAACCCACAATTACAGAATGAAATAAAATACTTCTGTGGTTCCTTGGTACTGCACAATGAAGGACTGTTCCTCTTTTACTGATTTCTTCTAAGAAACTCAAGTCTTCAACATACTATCGAGTCAGACATTTCTCACTGGCTATTTGGGAAGTGGCCAGGATAAACTTGTAAAATATCTAAATTGTAGAATTTAAAAAAATAAATGCAGTTGCATTTAGATATAACTCATGAACTAAATTTATTAATTTTTTTTTTAATCCTCACCCGAGGACATTTTTCCATTTTTTGTTCAGGTAGAGTGGGAGGGAGAGAGAGAAACAGAGAGAGAGAGAGAAACATCAACGTGAAAGGGACACATCGAGTGGCTGCCACCCGCACAACCAACCAGGGCCGGGGACAAACTGCAACCAAAGTACGTGCCCTTAGTGGGAACCGAACCTGGGTCTCTCGGGACCGCAGGCCAACGCTCTAACCACTGATCCAAACTGGCCAGGGCGTGAACTAAATTTAGAAAGCACTGCAAACTGAAGTCCACAGGAGCTCATTTTAATGAACAGATAAAAATGATTTGTGATTAGCATAGATGTTCTTGGTAACTCAGATTCCATATATCAAATTTGATTCATCATACTATTTTCTTTCAACCTCTTCTTTTATGGATATTGTGAGGACAGAAAGTTCACAAATGGAGTTTCACTTCTAATCTGTTTTATAACGATTTGTGAGTTTCGCCACTGAAGAGGTCAGTGTAGCTTTCAAGTTTAGGAACATCCCCCTGTCCCTATACTGGTAAATTTTGGTTGTTTGTTTGATGTTCATCTTCACCCGAAGATATTTTCCCATTGATTTTTAGACAGAGTGGAAGGGAGAGAGAGAGATGTGAGGGAAGCACATCAATCAGTCGCCTCCGGATGGACCCTGACCGGGGCCAGCAATGGAACTGGCAACCCAGGTACGTGCCAGTGACCAGGAATCAAACCTGCAACCCATCAGTTCTTGGGCCGATGCTCTAACCACTGAGAAAACCCAGCCAGGGCTATACTGGTAAGTTTATAAAGTAAAAACAGACAAAGACATTGTGATGAGTTCTGACTACAAACATCAAAGAAAATGTTCGGCTAAGTACAAAAATAAAGCTCTCAAGTACATTCTCGGTTATAGTCGCAGAGCCATTTAAAACTACCTACACTTTCCTCACCCTCTTAAGACTAAATCAGCTGCTATCTGTGCTTTCTTTTTTCTTTAGCAGAGTCCTTACAACAAGTATATCATTTCTAGATTTGCCTGTCTCTCTTTCTACAAGCTCCACAGGGCAAGAACTACATCAAGACAGAACCACAGCAGCATACTTTAATATTATGTACTGAAACTTTATATAACAATATATATTACATACATTAAATATATATTAAGTGTACTTTTATATGTGTATGTGACACACACACACACACACACACACACACCTTGCACTCATCAACTGTAATAAATTATTTTGGGTACGAACCCTCTCCCACTTGATGCTCAGTTTCCTGTGTGTAACGTGGGCCATCTGTCTCCCTAACTAGTCACCCAGTCGACACTGGTTGAGTAAATACCCAAAGCCTCGTAGAGTGCTGGCAAACTCAAATAATTCGGTAAATTATTGGATCAACTTTCTGAAGCAGACAATACTGTTTTTCTTTCCAGAGCCATCAGGCTGTTCATCAAGCTCCCAGATGATAAGCGTCTTTCTAAGGTGGACAGATGGGCCAGACTCCATGCCTTGAAACTTGCGAAGTTCATCTGGGACACTTGAGCATCAGAAATTCTTATTTGGGGGGTTCTCAACTCTATTCACCCCATAATGGGATTCCAAAAATCAGACGCTCACATTTCTTAATTGAAAAAAGCTCCTCTAAGAGGGCATCTCATTTCTTTTGTTAAACATATTTAGGAGAATTATAAAGAAAATAAAGAGAGATGGGAGAACACCTACTTGGTCTTTCAGATTAGTGGGATCTATACAGGCAACCAATGGGGACAGAAGTGTGCCTTTATGTCCCCCAAATTCTAAATTGAAACGGCAGCAGGTCCAAGAACATCAACAAAATGATTACAAAAACGACTTAAATTATTTTAACTGAAAAACCCATCACATAACAAAACTAAGGTGGTTGTTGAGTAACCATTAAATTAAAAGCGATCTCATTTGTGACTTGAACTTGAAAATCCTCCAATGCATTCCAATATAGATCATCTATGCAAACAAGAAGGGAAAGGAGTTTAACTGGAGTTGGAAATAATACCCCTCACCTACTTAAAATGAGAACACATTTAGTAATTTCACAAGAACAACTGAAGCCTTCATTCCCCACGTGAAACACTGTCCCGAGGCTTACTCGCTAGAGCCCTGGTGGAGAGCCCCCGTTCATTCGCCGCCTCCTGTCCACACTGGATGCCTCCTTCCCTTCCCCCGCGCTGCTCCCGTGGGCATGCTGTCCTCACCAAGGGGCTCCCCCACCCCACTGGGCCAATGCCAGCCCTGCAAGGCCCTTCTCCTGGCCGGAGAGGAAACAGCATGCTGACCTGAACTAATTAGAGATGATTACTGTGTCACTTCAATTCCAAACTTGACGTTAATTATTAATACAGTTTTCCACCCCTCGAGGAATCTCCAGCACTCCTAAAAATAGATGTTTGGAAAGGCGCACTTGTGAAGGTGAGGACAACCGTGAAGACAATAAGGTCAAAGACGTTACTCCTGATTCCCGGCTCCGCGAGCCTACCTTGGTAGTGGAGTCCCTTACAGTCCCTGAGAGTTTGCTGAACAAGCACCGGGGAATTCATGGCCAGGAGCTACAGAGCACCTGGAAGGAATTCCACTTGCAAAATTCTTGTGGAGGCTTCTTCTTGGCCAGGCAGCCCAAACCTCAGATCCTCAAGCAACTCTCACCTTGAGCTCTGGAGTCAAGGAGAATTCTGTTCCTCCTCTTGGGCCTTCCTCTCTCTGGCCCCGAGGCTCAGAGGGTTCTGCACCCCGCCTTCCCTTATGTAGAAATATTGCTTCCTTCAGAAGTCCACAATTTGTCTTCCTCTGAGCTTTCTTCCCTCCCTCGTATCCAAACCTGAACCCTCCTCTCACCTCTGTGTTCAGTAAACTCATTGGTCTGTTACTTTTTCATCAAGTTTTGTGACTGGTTTTCACTTGCTTTTCACAGGTATTGATTGACAGCTGCCATGGCAACACAGGTTGAAAACTGACTCAAGAATTAAGTTGAGCCACACGAAAATTCTGCTTTTAATAGGCCAAAAAGAGTCCAATATCATCAGTGTTATAAGGTTCAACTTAGTATTTATACAGGAACTGAAGAAAGGTTCTGAAATAGTGTGTCTTCTTGTCACCTTTTTCTCCAGGACATTTTTATATAGACACTGCCCCACAATGGCTCAATTTCTCTTTCTACAACCTACAAAAAGTTTCTGCCTAAACTGATTAAAGGATTTAGCTGCTTTTTCCAAATGTTACAATTGTAAAATATCACTAATATTATCTTGTGTAAATGAAGTAACACAGACTTTTATAACAGTTCTAACCATGCAGTAATAAAGGAGACAGGTTGAATAACAAAATCTTGAACTCACCTTCTTCTGTAGGATTAAACCCACAGATGTCACAAATACAACGGACCCACTTATTCATCTCTTCCTCACTGTCTGCTACCAGGTAGAAAATTCGGTCAATGGTGTTGATATCAAAAATGTAGCTGTTTTCAAACTCCTTTTTGTTAAATGTCAATCCAGCATCGACTTGCTGACACAGATTTAAATCAATAATACGGATTGGCTTCTTGGCGTGATCATTTTTGTAATATTCCAAGACATCTGGATCTCCAGTTAAACGGCCACTGCGCAACACAAACCATCTCCTCTTCCATGCCTAAAAACAAAACAAAATACCCATGTCGTATTAATTTGAGAAAATATTCAAGAAGATGCATATTTATCGAATCAATTTTATAGAGGCATTATCTAGAGAAAGTCAATGTTTTCTTTATTTCCACAGAATGATCTACTGCTCCTGCAGAGTTTACTGATGCCCAAAATAATTTAATAATGTGTGTATATATGCATGCTTATTATTTTCTATTAGATCTTCTAGAAGAAGATATTGATAATATCTTCTAATAGGTAATATCTTCTATTAGAAGACACTGCCTGATATTAAAAGATATTACACCAATATGTAATATCAAGTCAACAAAACAAGGAAGATTTAGTTTTCTAAGAAAGCAGTGGTTTCAACAAATGATACTAGAAAAACTGGATATCCACATGCAAAGTAATGAAGTTAGAGTCTTGTCTTACATCGTACAAAAATTAACTCAAAGTGAATCAAAGACTTAAATGTAAGAGCTGAAACTATAAAACTCTTAGATGAAAACACAGGGAAAAGCTTCATGACATTAATTTGGCAATGATTTCTTGGCTATGACACCAAGAGTGCAGGAAACAAGAAAAAATAATTCAACTGAACTACTTCAAAATGTGTAACTTTGATACATTGAAGGACCTGATCAACAGAGTAAAAAGGCAACTCAGAGAAGGACAGAACCCATTTGTAAATCATACATCTGATAAGAGATTAATGTCTAGAATACATAAAGAACTCCTATAATTCCCTAACAACGAAAATAAACCACCCAATTAAAAAATGGGCCAAGGGTTTGAATAGACTCTCCAAAGAAGATATACAGTTGGCCAATAAGCCCATGAAAAGATGTTCAATATCACTATCATTAGAGAAACGCAAATCAAAACCACAAAGAGATACCACTTCATACGTATTAGAATGATTATTATTGAAAAAGCAGAAAATAAATGTTTTGTGCTGCTGGCAGAAACGTCCAACCGCCTAACTGCTGTAAAAACAGCATGGCAGTTCCTCAGAACACTCCAGTTGTGGGCACGTATCCAAACGAATTGCAATCAAAGTCTCCAACAGGTATTTGAACACCTAGATTCATGGCAGCATTCCTCACAACAGTCAAACAGTAGAAGCAACCCAAGTGTCTACTGAGAAATGATGACATAAACACAATGCAGTTTATATATACATATACGTATGAATATTATTCAGCCTTAAAAGGGAACAAAAATTCTGACACACACTATAACAACATGGATGAACCTTGAGATGTCATGCTAAGTGAAATAACCCAGTCACAAAAGGACAAAGATTGTATGACTCCACTTCTGTGAGGTACCTATAGTAGTCAAATGCATAAAGACAGAAAGCCAGGGGTTGGGGGAGAGGGTATGAGGGGTTAGTGTTCAATGGGTAGAGTTTCAGGTGGGGAAGAGGAGAAAGTTCTGGATGGTGGTGACTGCTGCACAGCAATGTGAAGGTCCTTAATGCCACCAAACTGCACACTTTAAAATGGTAAATTTTGTTTGGATGGTATGGCTCAGTGGTTGAGCATCGACCCATGCACCAAGAGGTCGCCAGTTCGATCCCCGGTCAGGGCACATGCACAGGTTGTGGACCCGATCCCCAGTGGGGGGCATGCAGGAGGTGGCCAATCGATGTTCTTTCTCATCGATGTTTCTATCTCTCTCTCCCTCTTACTTCCTCTTTCTCTCTAAAATCAATAAAGGAAAAATAAATTAATTAAATAAAATGATAAATTTTTTTTAATCCTCATCCAAGGACATTTTTCCATTTTTTGTTCAGATAGAGTGGGAGGGGGGGGGGGAGAGAGAGAGAAACATCAACGTGAAAGGGACACATTGAGTGGTTGCCACCCACACAACCCAACCAGGGCAGGGGACAAACTGCAACCGAGGTACGTGCCCTTAGTGGGAACCGAACCCGGGTCTCTCTGGACTGCAGGCCAACGCTCTAACCACTGAGCCAAACCAACCAGGGCTAAAATGATAAATTTTGTTATGTATATCTTATGTTATTTTTTTTTAAATAGCAATGCTTTTTGATGCCTTAATATCATGACATAAAGAATATACACAAAGGTGATTCTTCAAAACACTCCTTCATATTCAAGCTATAGTGCCCCCTCCACCCCCGCACGGGGTAAGGAGTAGGGAGGGGAAAAATGGGTGCAGAAGCTTTCCTGGTTTCCCATCTGGAAAGCAAGCAAAGAAATGGACTGTGTCTTCCTTTGGCCAGACTGCTGTTCAGACTACACAGAGAAGAGATGTATTCTTTTTTTTCTATTTAAGCCTCATCTGAGGATATATATATACATATATATATATATATATGTGTGTGTGTATATATATGTGTGTGTGTATATATATATATATGTGTATATATATATATATGTATATATATATATATATTTGAGAGAGAAAGGAAGGGAGACAGAGAGAGAGAGAGAGAAACTTCGATCAGTTGCCTCCCGTACGCACTCTGACCAGGGATTGAACCCAAAACCTAGGCATGTGCCCCAACTGAGAATCGAACCTGCAACCTTTTGGTGTACGGGAGGACTGAGCCACCTGGCCAGGACAAGAGCTGTATTCTTGAGTATGGGATACAACTTTATTTTTCAGTCTTTTTCTTTCTCTTCCCAGCAAATACATATTGGCAAGCTGGACCTCTAATTCTGAGATTAATTCTATGCCTAAAGAAGCCTAAAATTCTTTTACTGTTTATTACCCTCCCTAAAATCTGCGTTGATCAAATAATAAAAGCGGAAGCAAATGGCTGAAACAGTCGGCTTGAACAGTCTTCAAACCTAACATCTCTGCCCAGAAACAAAATGAAGCCTTACTCCTCCCTGAAGGCCTTCCTGGCGGGCAGTCACACTGCAAAGGGGCCTATTTGAACAAGTCTCAGCCACCTAAGAGACATTCTCTACTCCAGACTAAACATGCGAAGTACGATCACCCAAGAGGACACTCCAGGAAGTGGAAAGACCGAGAAACAGGACAATTTATGAATCCCAATGAAATAAGATATCCTTAATGGCCACTGTACATTTCTGTTCATTTGGAGATCATGATGGAGCACAGGTCCCAACACTTCAATCCTTTGTTTCTGGAAAAGAATAAACTGTCTCTTCTAGTAATAACTTGGGGTAATGACAGCCTTACACTAATGGTATTTTCAGAAATTTTATTCACAGCAGTAAATAAGTTTAGTGCTCTAAATACAGTATAGACAAAGAATGCTCATGATATTGGTACCATAACATAGCCCAATTTCCCCAAAACATTATTTCTATTTCTTCCTTAACATATATCAGTCTATTTTTATTTTATTTTATTGTTTCTTTATTGATGCATTAGAGAGACAGAGGAAGAAAGAGGGAGAGAGGGATGGAAACATTGATGAGAGAGAACATCGAGTGGCTGCCTCCTGCATGCCCCCCACTGGGGATCAGGCCCACAACCTGGGCATGTGCCCTGACTGGGAATCGAACAGGTGACCTCTCAGTGCATGGGCTGATGCTCAACCGGCCAGGCTATCAGTCTATTTTTAAAAATCTGCTTCCAGCCCTGGCTGGTTTGGCTCAGCGGTTGGAGCGTCCGCCTGCAGTCTGGAGAGACTCGGGTTCGGTTCCCGCTATGGGCGCGTACCTCGGTTGCAGTTTGTCCCTGGCCCTGGTTGGTCGTGCGGGTGGCAGCCACTCTATGTGTCCCTTTCACATCGATGTTTCCCTCTCTCTCTCTTCCTCTCTCTCCCTCCCACTCTATCTGTACAAAAAATGGAAAAAAGTCCTCGGGTGAGGATGAAAAAAAAAAAAATCTGCTTCCACCTGGCCAGTGTGGCTCAGTGGATTGAGCATCGTCCCATGGACTGAGAGGTCCTGGTTTATTCCCAGTCAGGCACATGCCCGGGTTGCAGTTTGATTACCAGTAAGGGGTGGGCAGGAGGCAGCCAACTGATGTTTCTATCTCTCTCTCCCTTCCTTTCTCTCTTAAAAAGAAAAATTAAAATCTGCTACCAAAAACAATACTACTATGACATGACAGAGTCTCTATATTTTTTATGTTTTACAAAATTTGGCATATGTAACACAAAAGGCATCAACTAAAAATTGCTTCATTTTATCCTGAAAAATACAGGTGAGAGAAAAAAGAGGATTAACTGAAATCCACCTATACTTCTCCAACAGATGTTTGGACTTAGCCTCCATCTTCCCCAAATTTCACAAGTTCTGACATGGATCAATTTTGATGTGCTGTTTGCTGGTAGAGATGCTAGGGAGCTATGGCAACGGTTGGAGGCAGAGACACAAAAAAGGGAAAAGTAAAGGGTCTGAGGGGTCCATAAACCAGCTCATTTAGTCTTTAATAACTTGGACAACTGTGCCAATAACTGAATCAACTTGGGTGGTAACTTTAAGTTTAGCATTATAATAGATTCTTTAAATTGTATCCAGTCAAGAAAAGTTAGATGTATTAAGAAGTACCAATGAATGGTACTTAGATGTATCAATGAATTTACCAGTCAATAAGTTATTGATTATACTGTAAATACTGTGCCAGGTACAAGTGGAAAGAGATACCAGTAGGTAATTAACGATTCCTATTCTCGAGGAGTCTACTAATTATGAAGAGCATACTTTACCATACACGAAAATATTTGAGAATATAGCAACCCTGGAAAAATATCTGTAGAACTACTGCTAAATGGACAGGCCTTCCTTCGTGGAAAAACTTATGTAATCCTTTAGCAAGAAGATTAGTAGAGAAATCACAAATGTCTAAAAATATTATGTAGTTCTTTAATATTATTAAGATTTTCAATTAATTTCTCAGTCTGACTGCAGCTCCAAAGTAAATGACTGGTCCAGAAGAAGAAGGCCATGAAGGTGGAGTTCTACAGATGCTTTAGATAATATTCAAAAGTCATAAACTGCTAAATTCATAAATTTAACACTGGCTTCTGGTTTATAAAAATCTATTCAGTTA